GTAATTCAGAGTACTTTGCCCACAGTAGATGCTCAATCAAATCTGTTAAATAACCTCCTTACAGCATTATTATCACTCCGTCAGCCCTGGACTGTTCCTCCTTGACTTCTCTCAAGGGCACTCTCCTGATTTATTTCCTGCTGCTTCAACTATTCCTTCTGTCCTCACTGGCTGCCTCTTCCACATACACTTTACAAATATTTACTGAGTCCCTGCTATGTATCAGGTATGGTGACAGGTACTAGGATAGACAGTGAACAAGAAAACTAGGTCCTTCAACCCAACGAAATACCCCAAAACTCCATCTCCAGTCCCTTCCCCTCATTTACCTCTGTTCCTATGCAGCTTTGACTTCACCTCAATCTTGTCTATTTCTAGCTACTTGTTGAATATTTCTGTCTGCATATACTTCTATCACCATGCCTGAATTCATTGCTCCCCCTCTTTACATCTTCCTCTGGCCTCCACACCCAGTTTCAATTTCTCTGCCATTGACTAGTTCCTTTCCTTGCATTCCTATTGGTACCACTTGCCAGCCTATATTAGAACCTGCTTCTTCCTTGAGGTAGTTTGCCAACTGCTATTCTTGCCTTTCATCTCTCCAAGTAGCAATTCATCCTATGCCTTGCTGCCTAAATCATTATTTTACAAATTATTGCCAGCTTTGCCCAGTATAAGATACAGTAGGGAGGAGTTTCAGGCCTACTTTTCTTTTTTCTGAGACAGGGTCTTGCTCTGTCGCTCAGGCTGAGTGCACTGGTATGATCACAGCTCACTGCAGCGTCAATCTCCTAGGTGCAGGGCGATCCTCCCACTTCAGCCTCCCAAGTAGCTGGGACTGCAGGAGCACACCACCACACTTGTCTAATTTTTCTATATATTTTTTTTTTTTTGTAGAAATGAGGTTTCACCATGTTGCCCAGGTTGGTCTCAAACTCCTGAGCTCAAGTGATCTGCCCACCTCGGCCTCCCAAAGTGTTGGGATTATAGGCATGAGCCACCGCACCTGGCCTAATTTTTGGTATTCAGACCTGCTTTTCACAGGGCTTTCCAACTGCTTCACCCAGCGTTTCAGGGATTCTTCACAGACTATTTGGCTTGGTGTCTGAGGGTTCAAGCTTACACCCACTCTTGCCTTGATTTGGATTTCTGCTCATTGTTCCCAGAAGGCATGGTACCCACTTCTGTGTCTTCACTAGGTCCCCCTCACTCCCCACCTGTCTTAGCCTCTCAGTCCAACTCATTTAATACACATTGCTTTGTTCCCTTTTAATCATGTCTTCTCTGCCCAGATTTTGTGGCCAACCCTCAGCCTCCAGAAATGGGCCTTTTGGCTTTTTATAATCCAGAGTTCACTGAAATTTACTGTGTTCTAAGCACTGTTCTGTTTTATATACATGCTTTCATTTTATTTTCACAAGCCCAGAAGGTGTTACTTTTAACATATTCATTTATAGAGATTACTTTGCCCAAAGCCATGAATAAGAGGCAGAACTCAAATTTGAAAGCAAGTCTAACTCCAGAATTTGAGCTCCTTTCAGTGACTGCTTGCCTAACCCTGCGTGACCACATAATAAGCCTCAACAAATATTTACTGTGGATAATACTCCCTTCCCACAGGAACTTCTCTTTGCCATGAGTGATCTCCCATAGTGCCTGGGATTTGAACTACCCACTTTGGCACCTACTGGTCTATTGTTTGATACTATTGTTTCTTCTTTCCCTCATCTCAGGCTCTATTTTCTCATACTATTGTTTCCAATGTTGCCTTTGCCTAGCAGTTTTCCTTCTCATCAGGTCAGGGATAGTCCCATTGGCTGACGTGGGCGTGAGGCTGCTACGGCCTTCACAGCGGGATCTTTCTCCTCCACTGAAGACAATCAGTGGCATTCAAATCTTAAGACTCCTTTGGGGTGTTTGTTAAAAATGCAGCTGATTAGTTTTGGGGTGGGACAGAGGAATCTGCATCTTTAACACGCAGATCATTGTTAGGTTATAGTCACTGCATTGGTCTACATTCCCACCTTGTGAGGACTGACCCATTTAGGCAGGATTATTTCCTGGTATAGTGATTCTCTAAACATTGCACACAGCTGAAGAATTGGAAACTGGGCCTCTTTTGTTTCTGGATACACCACTTGGCAGGTGTAATAACATCCTCTGACAGGCTGCTTGCCACAGGTGCATGCTTGACACGTGCGTCTCGTTGGTACTATCCCCTCCCCCCTTCCCATCCCTGCTGCCCAACCAAGACCCCTCTAGTCCCACCACCACCCGGCAGCTGTTACCCTCCTCCAAGCCCCCAATCCCCCCCACCGCCCACTGCCCTCCCTTCCTTTCCCTCCCCCCCACACCCCTTCCCCAGGCTCCTCCCACTCCAGAATATTTTTTTTGTTCCTAAGTTTATCCTGTGAGGTGGGGGTGGGGGGAACTGGTTAGATGGAGAGGACGCTCTGCCATTCAGAGGTCCTACTGAGTGGGCACACCTTTTCCCCTCGCGAAAACCTTGTTTCTACCAGAGAAATGGGCATGAGGCCTCTCTCTGGAACTTGAACCCCTCTGTCCCTGGAAACATCCCAAAGCAGGCCCAGCCTGCTATGTTCCTTTGTTGGGGCACAGAGGGAATGGAATCTTACCGATAAGGTGAGAAGAGCTTCAGAGAATACCAAGGACGGGCCCACCCTTCTCCCTCCTCCCTCCAAACACCTCAGGCTAAAAGGGGAGGGAAAAAAAGGCACCAACAAAGAGTTTAAGACAGCAATTCCCAGCTTTTTCAAATATGAAGCATTTTTTAACCAATTCGTTTTTTTTAATTCTTAAATTCTTGACATTACAGAACTAAACTGAAATTTATTAACATTCCACTCTTACATTTCTTATCGACAAACAGAAATAAAATTCATGAGCCAAAAAACCCAAAACAAAACTAAAAACAGGGAAAAGCTTATAAAACTAAATATGGATCCCAGCATTAACAGCTGAACAGAGAATGTGATTTTTAAATTCTTAGCGGATGATAAAGTTGTGTAGAAACTGAACACTTACAAATTATTTAAAACCTGGAATCACTGACCAGAAATTACACAGTTGGATCATGGGAAAACAGCAGAAAGGGGTTATTGAGGGAACCTACACTGTTCTAGCTGCACCCCATGCCCTTCTCAGAGGAAAGCCTGGCATTGATTAGATACTGGGCCAGACTAATACTGGCAGCAGAGCCAGTGATAGTAACCTGCCTACCAGAGGAGCCTTCCACTGGGTTGGCAATTTTGATCTGGGCCCCGGACATCTGGCGGATCTCATTAATGTTGGCGCCTTGGCGCCCGATTATGCAGCCAATTAAGTTATTTGGAATGGTGAGTTCATGGGTGGTTTGAGTAGATGCATCCAAACTTGCCCAATAGCCTTTCACCTCTGGAGAGCTGGAGTCAATTCCGGCGAATCCGGTCCCGCCGTGCATCATGGCAAAGTGAGACTGTTGTCTTGCCACCTGGTTCAGCTTGGCCAGATCGAGCGGAGAAATGGTGTGTTGTCCTTGAATCGAGTAGGCATCTAGAGGTGGTCCCTCCAGGTCATGGGTGGCATGGGGGTAGCCCGCAGCGTCGCTGCACCGATCTTGGCCGCCCGCGCAGATGACTGGGGAGCTGGCCGGCATGGGCTGGTACGGAATGGTCATGACTCTCCCTTGCGGAGACTGGGAGAGCGTCTCCAGCATGACCAGGCAGATCTGCTTGACACACTCGGTGACAGACTGCGGCACGCCAGCGATGGTGATGGCCCGCTCGGTGGAGTTGGGCAGCATATCCCCCGCCACCTGGACCTGCGCCCCCGTACTCTCGCGGATCTCTTTGATCTTACACCCGCCTTTCCCAATCAGGGAGCCGCACTGGGTGGCCGGCACCACCAGCCTCAGGGTGACCGGGGGCCTGCTGGCCGCGGTGCTGTTGGTCATGGAGCTGTTGATATCTTCCTCCAGCTTGTCGATGATCATAGCGAAAGCCTTAAAGATGGCATTGGTGGGGCCGGTCAGAGTGATGATTCTCTCCGGACAATTCCCCTCCGAGATGTTGATCCGCGCGCCACTCTCCTCGCGGATCCTCTTAACCGACTCCCCTTTCTTCCCAATGATGCTTCCTACTTCCTTTCCATGCATAAGAAGCCGAATGGTGAGAGTCACATTTAGTCCACTTTCAGTCACACCGGCATCCATGGCGAGCGGCGGGCGGCGTTCGGGGGAGTTGGGCTCGTTACGTGGTCAAGTCTTTCGCGGCTGGCGGGGGGAGGGGAGGTGTAGGCCCAAAACTGCCGGCGCGAGGCGAGCGAGGGCCGCGGGAGCGAGCGGGAGCGGGCGGGAGGCCGCAGCGTAGTCGCAGGGGCGGGCGGCGGCGGCGGAGGGGGCGAGCGGGGCCGGGAGCGGCGGGCGGGCGGGTGGGCGAGGGCGCGGCGGTGGCGACTCCGGCGGCAGCCTCGGCGGTCTGGGCGGGGCGGGAAGCCCGCTTTCAACCCCGCGTACCCTCTGACCCCGGAAGTGCTTGCTGCGCAGGACCCCTTGAAAAAAAATGAGGACCCGTCTTTTTTAGGTCACAAGATTGCGCCAACCCTCACATGGTCCTTAAAAAAAAAACCCTTCTGACACTGCAGTAGTGAAAATCAAGCGCACTATGGGCGGAAACTGTGAGTCCGGCAAAGTTTTAAAATGATTACGTATTTTATTAACTCTAACGGCACTGGCGGGTGACTGAAAATACTAGTGTTGTGTATGGGGGACAGACATTATTTTCCTGCCCTACATGGGGGGGGGTCGTGCGAGGAACGACACGGGCAGCCCAGGTGGAAACTGCAGGCACAAGCCGGGACGCCGCGGGTTTAAAACGTGCGCGCAAGGTGACCAGGGCGCGTGCGCGAGGGTGTGGGGGGATGGGAGGGGCAGACGCCGTCTTCCGGCGGGGGAGGGGCGGCGAGGCGAGGCCTGCAGAGCGGGTGCGCGCGGGCGGGCACGTGGGGCCTTTTCGTCCCCGGCGTCCGGGCGCGCCTCATCGACCCCCACCCCGGCCCCTGCCCCCCGGCGGTGGCCGGTGGGCAGAAAGACCGAAACCCGCTCACTACCGCCTCTCGAATCGCGGCTCTGCTGTTTGCGGGGCGTGCTAGAAACGTGGTCCTGGAAAGAATGGCGTCCATTTACATAATGCTTTGTTTGCGTTTCGCAAGTTTCTTTCGGTTAAAGCCACAGAAACCCCACCTCCTGCCCTTGGGTCGTTTCCACCGCGGCACCCTTTTCCGACATTAGAAACAATAGTGTGCGCCAATGGAGGCCTTGTTTATTCAGGGGATGCCGGCCGGGGCTTCAGGATGTTTCTGCGGCTTTTCCCGCGCGGCCTGGGCTCCTGCGGCTGCCTTTCGGGCCCATGGGCGCAGCCACCGCACCCGACTCTCCGGGGGCGGCCCCGTGGCCCGCCATCTTGGAAGGCCTTTTTTGCAGGTTCCTCCCGCTGAGGAAGTGTCGTTTAAGACGCTGGCATATGAGTTGTGATTTCTGCCCTTTCCCCTTCTTCCTCGGGCTAAGCCAGACCAGCAAGGGCCCCGTGCACAACGTGCTTCAGAATCCCTCAGGGAAAGCGGCTAACGTGGCGCTACTCCGCCTTCCCCGTTCCTTCCCCGAGGGGCGGCCGCCATGTTGCCTGAACACAAAATGGCGACACGTGGCTAGCATTCGTCGCCAACGAGAAATTGGGGTCGGCCCGAAAGCTCTGGAATGTACCCCCCTTCCTCCCCGGGGCCTTTCCCGCTCCGCGAGTTTTATGACCTAGAAAACCCCACAGGCTGGTCTGAAGCTCGGAAGCCTAATTTTAACGCGTTTCCCTCCCTTTAATTTGAAACGGGAACGCGAATAACTGTAAAATGTAGGCACAATATTTAATCTCTCGCCTTTTTAAAGCTTAACGATGAATAATAGGGGGCAGTATCAAGGGATAATTTGGGTCCCCACAGTACCAAAGCATTTAGAAACCTCTGCTTAATTTAAAGAATGAGATAAATTACTGCTTTTCTAGACTTCCTAGCATGGGCCGTTGTGCTGGAGAGAACGAGAAATACGAAGAGACCAGAATGCCTCTGACTTTTTCATAGGCCGGTTGGCCGGTGAATCTTACTAATAGTTTACCACAATTCAGTGTTCACTCTTAGTTTAGAAGGGACAGGCGTTTATTGTGCATTGGCCAGTGCCAGCACATCCGATGCAAGGCATTTCACCGTATTCTATCTTTAATTTTTACCATGATCCTCTGAGGTAGGTGTTCTTATCTCTTTCTCTCTTTTTTGAACAGAGGAAGACACTTAAACATAAAGATGAAGTGCCTAATTCAAGGTCACACAATGTCGGGGATGGACCTCCAGATTTCCTTACTGGTGAGCACATTTTCCAGATTTTTCTGTAAATCAGGGTTTTGGAATTTAAATACTATTTTAAACGTTTAGGTGAGCTTGTCATTTAAATGAGCCCTTGAGGTAACCTTTGTTGTGTAGTCAGCCCCCTTTTGTGTCTGTCTGGCGGCTCCCAGCTTTTCCTGATAAGAGCTACACCTGTAACAGGCAGGCGGGCTGAAATGCTGTCTTATGCAGTGTCTGGTGAGGATAGGGAGGGGGAAATGATTCAGCCCGCCCAGAGGCTCAGGTATCTGTCGGTCTGGCCTTGTCTGTGGCACATGTGAGTCTACCTGGCTCTGGGGGAGCAAACAGTTTTCTGTATGACTCACTTGCTTCCCTCAGCTCCCCATGGGCTTGACTCTTGCCTCCCCCACCCCAGCACACCAGCCAGGTAAAAATAAATTCACTCTGGCACGAAGCCTCCGTTTCTCTGCAGAGATTGACAGAGCATGACAGAGTTGTTAGGTCAGTCTATGGACCCTTCAGTTGAGTGCAACACGTAGCTGGTGGGTCAAGCAACAAACGGGTGCCTGAGCAGGGCTCTGATTGTGCGGATATGAGAGGCAAAGAGAAAGGCTTTGCCTTTAACTTGCGTTACTATCAGATATATTTTCCAAAGTGGTTTCGTGTAGGCTTATATAACTCTACAAACACATTTAATAGGTACATAACAGCAACGATGACAGTTATAGCACTAGGTGCTTACTGTATGCTAGGCATTGTTCTAAGCCTTATTTTATGTCTTCAGTGTCTCACATTTTTAAAGAAAACACTGTAAGAAACAAATTTTACATTTTGACTTAAGACATTTATGCACACATGTATAACAAAATTTTTGCAAAACAATACTTGTTGCTACATGCAGTATACTTGGGTAATTTCTATTCTTTATATATAAAAAGGACACGTTATAAAGTAATTAAAAACCCATTAGTAAGTTGTGATCGCTTATGCACATTTAATCCTCACAAAACCTCCTGAAATGGGTGGTACAGAGGTACAGATTGGTGAAGGAATTTATCCAAGGTCACACAGCTATTAAGTGGTAAAGCAAGGATTTGAATTTAGGCAATCTGAGTCCAGAGACTCCATACTTAACCACTAAACTAGATGTGGTCTCTGCAGAAGGTCCTGTCTCATAGGGAGACAATAGATAAGGGAATTAATATTACCAAGTGTTAGAAACTCAGGTTACAACAAAAGGACTAAATTGCATATAATCAAGGAATGTTCAACCAAAGCCTTCTGGTCTTATAAATCTAACTTATTTCTGTTCCCTAGAGAAAATTTTATGCATCAGGTTTTTCTTCCCAAGTCTACCTACTGAAATATTTCCATAATTTCCTGTTATGTATTCCTGGGACTTAATGCACCTCCTCAGAGAAGCTTTCCCTTTCCCAACTTCCCCAGCTGTTAGCCTCCCTCCTTCCCCCAGAGTCTTACAGTTTCTCCCTTCGGTAGCCCACGTTTGGCCGTTGGTTAAATTGTAATGTGTCTTGGGGTTGATAACATGTCATATAGGAACCTTGGGTGATGCTGTGATCTGGCAAAGAGGTCACTGTACCTTGGAATCTGTGGCTCTGGGCCCTAGTCCTAGCTCTGCCCCTGACTAGCTCGAGACTTCTATAACTCATGTGTCAGGGTTTCAGTTCTCCCTTTTATAAAGCAAGAGATTAAATGATCTCTAAGGGTCTTTCTACTTATGTCCAGGGAATGATGATATTTGATGACCTTGGTTATTTATTCTTGGGGGGCGGGAGGTTTATGTAAATATTTTCTGCACTTTTGGTAAAATCTCCACTCTGTTCCTCAGACCTGCATTATCTGTGGATATCTGAGTGAATTACACACCACCCATTTTATAGATGAAGCCACTGAGACATGGAGCAACTGACTGAGTAGTCACTGCACCACCCCTGGAGCCTCACACATGACTCGTCTCCTCTCTCTCAGTGACCACAGGTTGGTTGAGGGGTTTGACAAGGCTAAGAAGGTGAGTCAGGTTTAGACTTTGGAAGTTGAACCACAGGATTTATGCTACATTCAGAGGAATGATTGTTGCTTCCTCTTAATGTTAAGTTGGTATGTCACGTAAAACCTTTCAAAGTGATTTTGTGTTACTCGTTTAATCATCACAGACAACTTTGCCAGTAGGGTCTTATTATGCCCATTTTACAGAAGAGCCATTTTGGGATTAGAGGAGTGAAGTGACATGCCCAAGGTTACACAGCCTGTTAGAACCTGAGCTGAACCTCTTGACTCCTAGTTATGGATTATACCTTTCCATGGCTTCTGATGCTTGTCATATAGACTTTGATGTGTAGGATAGCTTTACCTTAAACTCAAAAGGCTTTCCAGCCAGTCATTATTTTTCTGTCCCCAAAGAGCCAATGCATTTACCTTAAGTTCCTAACTCTTGTTTTAGAAAATCTCTTCCCTGTTTTCTCTGATGTTTACATTTATGAGTTTGGAAGGGGTGGGAAAGATTCCTCAGTAAGACTCAAGTTCTCTGGGAGCAGGGACCACATTTATTTTCTCTAACCTACTAGATTCAGCAAGCATACTATGGTTATTTAATTTTTTTATTTTTAATTTTTATTTATTTTTTGAGACAAGGTCTCGCTCTGTCACCCAGGCTGGAGTGTAGTGGCGCCATCATAGCTCACTTCCACCTCTTTCCCCCGGGCTGAAGCAGTCCTCCCACCTCTACCTCCTCAGTAACTGGGACTAGAGATGTGTACCCACCATGCCGGCTAATTTTTAAATTAAATTAAATTACGTTAATTTATGTATTTATTTATTTTTGAGATGGAGTTTCGCTCTTGTTGCCCAGGCTGGAGTGCAGTGGCATGATCCTGGCTCACTGCAATCTCTGCCTCCCAGGTTCAAGCGATTCTCTTGCGTCAGCCTCTTGAGTAGCTGGGATTACAGGCATGTACCACCACGCCCGGCTAATTTTGTATTTTTAGTAGAGGCGGGGTTTCTCCTTGTTGGTCAGGCTGGCCTCGAACTCCTGACCTAAGGTGATCCACCCACCTTGGCCTCCCAAAGTTTTGGGATTACAGGCATGAGCCACCATGCCCGGCTTAATTTTTTAATTTTTATTTTTAGTAGAGATGAGGTCTTGCTATGTTGCTCAGGTTGGCTTTGAATTCGTGAGCTCAAGTGATACTTCTACCTCAGCCTCCCAAAGTCCTAGGATTTCCTGTGTGAGTCACCATGCCTGGCCTATAGCTATTTAAAGTCGCCGTACTGGTCCGTACTGGCTAAGTGCTGTGGATGAGGTGGTGAGGCAGATGGACTACCTGAGGTCAGGAGTTCAAGACCAGCCTGGCTAACATGGCAAAACCGTGTCTCTATTAAAAATACAGAAAAAGGCCGGGCGCGGTGGCTCAAGCCTGTAATCCCAGCACTTTGGGAGGCCGAGACGGGTGGATCACGAGGTCAGGAGATCGAGACCATCCCGGCTAACACGGTGAAACTCCGTCTCTACTAAAAAATACAAAAAACTAGCCGGGCGTGGTGGTGGGCACCTGTAGTCCCAGCTACTCGGGAGGCTGAGGCAGGAGAATGGCATAAACCCGGGAGGCGGAGCTTGCAGTGAGCTAAGATCTGGCCACTGCACCCCAGCCTGGGCGACAGAGCAAGACTCCGTCTCAAAAAAAAAAAAAAAAAAAAAAAAAACCACAGAAAAAAAAAATTAGCTGGGTGTGGTGGTATGTGCCTGTAATCCCAACTATTTGGGAGGCTGAGGCATGTGAATGTGAACCTGGGAGGTAGAGGTTGCAGTGAGCTGAGATGGTGCAACTGTACTCTAGCCTGGGCGAAAGAGTGAGACTCTGTCTCAAAAAAAAAAAAAAAATTTTTTTTGCCCTACTAACACGTAGCTTTTTTTTTTTTTTTTTAAGTGGTTTCCTTTTTTCTCCCCCTTAAGATTTATCTTTCTATTTTTTTTTTTTTTAAGTAGTAGTAGTCTGGACACGGTGGTTCACACCTGTCATCCCAGCATTTTGGGAGGCTGAGGCAGGAGGATCACTTGAGTCCAGGTGTTGGAGACCAGCCTGGGCAACATGATGAGACCCTGTCTCTACAAAAAAATAAAAAAATTAACTGGGTGTGGTTGCGTGCATCTGTAGTCCCAGCTACTTGCAAGGCTGAGGTGGGAGAATCACTTGAGCCTACGAGTCAGAGGCTGCAGTGAGCCATGATCATGTAGCTGCGCTCCAGTCCGAACAACAGATTGAGACCCTATCTGAAAAAAGAAAATAAGAGTAAATTGAGAAAGCCTTTTCTCTGTTACTTTCTAGGTTACTACAGCTAAAAATACATCATCTTAAAAATTTTTTTTTTTTTTTTTTGAGACGGAGTCTTGCTCTGTCACCCAGGCTGGAATGCAGTGGCGTGATCTTGCCTCACTGCAAGCTCCACCTCCCAGGTTCACGCCATTCTCCTGCCTCAGCCTCCCGAGTAGCTGGGACTACAGGCGCCCACCACCGTGCCTGGCTAAGTTTTTGAAGTTTTAGTAGAGACAGGGTTTCACCGTGTTAGCCAGGATGGTCTCGATCTCGTGACATCATGATCTGCCTGCCTAAGCCTCCCAAAGTGCTAGGATTACAGGCGTGAGCCACCACGCCTGGCCTTTTTTTTTTTTTTTTTTTTTTTTTTAAAGGCAGAGTCTCACTCTGTCGCCAGGATGGAGTGCAGTGGCGCAATCTCGGCTCACTGCAGCCTCTGCTTCCCGGGTTCAAGTGATTCTCCTGTCTCAGCCTCCCAAGTAGCAGGACTACAGGCGTGTGCCACCATGCCTGGCTAATTTTTGTATTTTTAGTAGAGATGGGGTTTCACCGTGTTAACCAGGATGGAAAATTTTTTTTTTCTTTTTTTTTTTTGAGACGGAGTCTCGCTCTGTCTCCCAGGCTGGACTGTAGTGGCCGGATCTCAGCTCACTGCAAGCTCCGCCTCCTGGGTTTACGCCATTCTCCTGCCTCAGCCTCCCGAGTAGCTGGGACTACAGGCGCCCACCACCTCGCCCGGCTAGTTTTTTGTATTTTTTAGTAGAGATGGGGTTTCACCGTGTTGGCCAGGATGGTCTTGATCTCCTGACCTCGTGATCCGCCCGTCTCGGCCTCCCAAAGTGCTGGGATTACAGGCTGGAGCCACCGTGCCCGGCGAAAATTTTTTTATATGGAAAGGAGTGCTTTATTTCTCATAAGTAAATGCCAGGCTGGGAAGTGTAGCCTCCAGCCAGAAGCCAGAAACAGGCACTTCCAAGCAATATGTCTTACCCATTTTGTAGATAATAACAGTTTGACCTCATTTGCTGGTGACCCTGCACTGCTGTTAGGAGATCACTTCTTGGTTCTCTGAGAAATGTAAGAAGTGTGTTGGGGTTGGTATAGCTGGGTGTGGTGGCTCACAAATGTAATCCCTCCACTTTGGGCAGCTGAGGCAGGAGGATTGTTTGAGCCTATGAATTCAAGACCAGCCTGGGCAACGTAGGGAGACCCTGTCTCTACCAAAATAATTATCCCAGCTACTGGGCAGGTTGAGGTAAGGAGTTTCAAACTAGCAGACTGCAAGGTGGAGGACAGGGAAGGGTATTCCAGGCAGAGGAAACAAAGGCCTGAAGTCAAAGAGAGCACAGTCCATTTAGAAGTTGTAGTCATTTCAGGAAGATATGAATGAAGGATGTTTACATTATCCAGTTTTTGGTGATTATTATTTTGCTACTTCAGTAGTGTAGATTATTGAGATTTGACTATACTTGCTAGAGCACAGAAAGTTAAAGGCCTTATTTTATAGCAATAATTCTCTTTTAAGGCGAAGACATCAGAAATTATACTTAAGGTCTACAGATTCTTTTTTTTTTTTTTTTCCTGAGCCAGTGTCTCGCTCTGTCACCCAGGTTGGAGTGCAGTGGCAAGATCTCGACTCACTGCCAGCTCCGCCTCCTGGGCTCATGCCATTCTCCTGCGTCAGCCTCCTGAGTAGCTGGGACTACAGGTGTCCACCACCACGCCCGGCTAATGTTTTGTATTTTTAGTAGAGATAAGGTTTCACTGCGTTAGCTAGGATGGTCTCGATCTGACCTCGTGATCCGCCCGCCTGGGCCTCCCAAAGTGCTGAGATTACAGGTGTGAGCCACCATGCCCGGCCATCTATCTAGAGCTTCTAAGGAGAAAATGTAAATTAAACCTAACTTTGAGTTAGCAAATGATGGATAACTCTCTGTCCCATAAAAGAAAGAAGGGGTAGGCCGAGCACTGTGGCTCACACCTGTAATCCCAGCACTTTGGGAGGCCAAAGTGGGCAGATCACCTGAGGTCAGGAGTTCAAGATCAGCCTGGCCAACATGGTGAAACCCCGTCTCTACTAAAAATACAAAGATTATCTGGGTGTGGTGGCACATGCCTGTAATCCGAGCTACTTAGGGGGCTGAGGCAGAACAATCCTTGAACCCGGAAGGCAGAGGTTGATCGTGCTATTGCACTCCAGCCTAGGCAAAAGAGTGAAACTCTGTCTCAAAAAAAAAAAAAAAAAAAAGGCAGGGCACAGTGCACAGTGTACTACTTCTTTCTCGTCTAACTTTTGAATCTTACTGTGTTTTGCTTTGTTTCTGAGGAGGGGTATGTGTGGAAATTTAGGGTCTTTGTTAAACTGGTTAGGAGATTTGAGTTAGGGAAGAGAGAAAGGAGTTCAAGAATGATTGCTACTTTATGCAGAACAACAAAAAAAATACATTTAAATAACTTGTTTCTCTGATCCCACTTACTAAGTACAAGCAAGACTTAGGGATTTTGTCTCAGAGAGTTACTTCAACCAGACAAAGCATTTGTTCAACATTATTCACTGTGTAATATTCGTTGTGTCCCGATTAAGAGCATTGATTTTTGCTTTTTGCTTTTTGTATTTCTGAGACACGGATATAGCTGAATTAAATAGAAACCTTCTGTGTGTTCGTTGGATAGTGCTGGGATTTTTTTTTTTTTTTTTTTGAGACGGAGTCTCGCTCTGTCGCCCAGGCTGGAGTGCAGTGGCCAGATCTCAGCTCACTGCAAGCTCCGCCTCCCGGGTTCACGCCATTCTCCTGCCTCAGCCTCCCTACAGGCGCCCGCCACCTCGCCCGGCTAGTTTTTTTTTTTTTGTATTTTTTAGTAGAGACGGGGTTGCACCATGTTAGCCAGGATGGTCTCGATCTCCTGACCTCGTGATCCACCTGTCTCGGCCTCCCAAAGTGCTGGGATTACAGGCTGGAGCCACCGTGCCCGGCTTAGTGCTGGGATTTTTATGTGGATTAAAAGAGAAGAAAAGTGTTATGTGTGGAATAGGAAAGAACAAGCTTAGAAAATGTATGTAGAGTTAGTGGTCATTTCTCACCCATTTTTATTCTTGATGTCTCAGTAGCATTTGACAGTCTGTTGCGCCCTAGCTTCATTTGTCTTCCAGGATGTCACTCCCTTGTTACTGTTCCTGCCTCACTGGTTCCTCCTTCTCAACTTTTTTTTTTCTTATTCTTCATCTCCTCAGCCTCCATTTATGGAGTACTCAGAGCAATCCTTGGATCCCTTCTCTGTCTACACTCTTTTCCTAGGTGCTCTCTTTCAAGACTTTATTTTATTTATTTATTTTTTTAGAGACGGAGTCTTGCTCTGTCACCCAGGCTGGAGTGCAGTGGCCGGATCTCAGCTCACTGCAAGCTCCTTCTCTCGGGTTCACGCCATTCTCCTGCCTCAGCCTCCTGAGTAGCTGGGACTACAGGCACCCGTCACTTTGCCCGGCTAGTTTTTTGTATTTTTTAGTAGAGATGGGGTTTCACCGTGTTAGCTGGGATGGTCTCGATCTCCTGACCTCGTGATCCGCCTATCTCGGCCTCCCAAAGTGCTGGGATTACAGGCTTGAGCCACCGCGCCCGGCCGACTTTATTTTTTAGAGACAGATTCTAACTCTGTTGCCCAGGCTGGAGTGCAGTGGTATGATCATAGTTGACTGTAGCCTTTGATTCCTGGTCTCAAGAAATCCTCCCACCCCTCCTCAGTCGCTAGTACTATAGGTACCTATCACCATGCCTGGCTAATTTATTATTTTTTTGTAGAGAGAGGGTCTCACTATGTTGCTCAGGCTGGACTTGATTAAGACTTTAAATGCCGTTATTCCCTGACAATTCGTGAGTTTACATTATTAGCTTGAATGTCTTTCCCTGAACTCAAGACTTATATCCAACTATTCGCTGGATATCTCCACTTGGGTGTCTAATAGTCTATTGAACTTATTAAAAAACTTCAGAACATCTCCTCTCAAATCTGCATTTCTGGAAGGTCCTCCCCATCTCAGAGTTGCTATTCATCTGTGTATTGAATATATAGAGAGTCTCCCTTAACTCTTGTTTTTTCATTCTCCTCATCCATTTCACCAGCAGGTCCTGTCAACTTCACCTTAAAATATATCCAGTATTTAAACACTTCCCACCACCTGCCCTGCTGCCACTGGAATTGCTTTCTAAATGATCTTCCTCCTTTTGCTCTTTGCCCCCTAAATCTAATTTTAACAGTGACCAGAATAATTCTTTTAAGTGTGTATTAGATCAAGTCACTGCTTTGCTGAAAACTGTCACCTGGGTGCCCAGATTAAAATCCCACCTGGATTAAAAGGTAGTGTCCCTATCATGGTCTACAAGACCATATAGGATCCACACTACCGTCTCCCAGTGCTCTGACTTCATACCACTTCCCCTTGTGCTATAGCCACACTGGTCTCCTTTGCAGTTGCTCCAGCATGCCATGCCTTGGGGCATTTGTAGTTGTTTTTTCTGCCAGGAACATCATTTTTCCAGATGTCAGTATGGCCTTCTCCCTTATCTCCTTCAGGTTTCTGCTCAACTGTCATTTAATCAGTGAAATATACCTTAACTGCCTTATTTAAAATAAAAGCTATCTCTCTGCATTCTGCTTTCTCTGCTCCCCTTCCCTGTTTTACTTTTCTGCATAGTGCTTGCTATTTGACATACTGTTCATTCATTCATTGTTCATTATTTGGCAAGTACTTATTGAGTGCTGTCTGCTGCGTGCCAGGCATTGTGTTCTAGGGACTCTCTACCATAGTTTATTACATGTCACCACCCACTAGAATGTAAATTTCATGATGGTTAGGGTTTTGTTTTGGTCATTGCTATAACCCCACTCCTAGAACAGTGCCTTTGACATAGGAGCTGAATGAATAAATTTATTTAATTTTTTGTTTTTTGAGACAGAGTCTCGTTCTGTCCCCCAGGCGGGAGTGGCGCGATCTCGGTTCACTGCCACTTCTACCTTCCAGGTTCAAGTGATTCTCCTGCCTCAGCCTCCTGAGTAGCTGGGATTACAGGCGTGTGCCACCACGCCTGGCTAATTTTTGTATTTTTAGTTAGAGACGGGGTTTCACTGTGTTGGTCAGGCTGGTCTCAAACTCCTGATCTCGTGATCCGCCTACCTCGGCCTCCAAAAGTGCTGAGATTACAGGAGTGAGCCACCGCGCCCGGCTAATTTATTTAATTTTTATTTTTTATTTTTTGAGACAGAGTTTCACTCTTGTTGCCCAGGCTGGAGTGCAGTGGCGTCGTCTCAGCTCACTGCAACCTCTGCCTCCTGGCTTCAAGTGAGTCTCCTGCCTCAGCCTCCTGTGTAGCTGGGACAACAGGTGGACACCACCATGCCCAGCTAATATTTTGTATTTTTAGTAGTAGAGACGGGGTTTCATCACGTTGGCCAGGCTGGTCTCGAACTGCTGACCTTGGGTGATCTGCCCTCCTCGGCCTCCCCAAGTGCTGGGATTACAAGCGTGAGCCACTGTGCCCGGCCGACAGTTTCTTTTTAAAGTAAATATTATTTATCTCTGCTTTATTTTGGAAAAAAAAAAAGTTTTATAATAAGTGTATGCTTTTTTTTTTCCAATGAGAGTAATAAAGGTTTTACTTTTAAAAACAAAGACTTTAGAATATTGCTTTTTATAGAGTAACATGTTTCTAATAAATATTTCCCTTTTTCTCCATCCAGTTACTTATCCTGTATTACATGAGGGAAATGAAACAAAAAGACTACAGCCCCACTCCCAGCTACTCCGTGAGGTGGTAGCTAGGTAAGAAAACAACCCTTTCCTTTTAGATGAAATTGGAACTTAGGAGGTAGTAATCTTTGGGAGAGGCTTAAAGGGATTGATAATGATGATAAAAAATAATAGTAATGGCCATTTTTGATGAACCAGGCACTGTGCTAAGCACTTTATGTTGGTTGCCATCTTCTAACAACCATATGATTGTTGTACTATGAGAATTAGAGCCAGTGTAGTGTAGGAGTAAGGAGCATAGACTTTGGAGTCGGACCTCTTGCTTTGACACCTGAGTTTTGCCAGTATCTGATTGTGTGGCCTTGAACAAGAAAACTATGCCTCATTTGTACAGATAGTCCCTGACTTACAGTGGTTCGACTTACAATTTTCAACTTTACGATGGTGCAAAAGCCATATACGTTAATTAGAAACTGCACTTGAAATTCTGAATTTTGATCTTTTCCTGGCCTAGTGTCACATGGTATGATATATTCTCATGATGCTGGGCTGCACCAACAAGCTGCAGCTCCCAGTCAGCCATGCAATCATGAAGGCAACCAATATTGCACACTGTACTGTTTTTAATAAATTACATGAGATATTCAGGTTTATAATAGGTATTGTATTAGATGATTTTGCCGAGCTAGAGGCTAATGAATATAAGTGTTCTGAGCATATTTAAGATAGACTTGGCTAAGCTATGATGTTTGGTAGGCTAAGTATATTAATTGTGTTTTTGACTTACGGTATTCGGGATGTAACTCATCATAAGTCAAGGAGCATCTGTATCTGTACAGTGAGGATAATGATAATACCTACCTCCTAAGATGGTGGTGACAGTTAAATGACATAAACTATGTAAAGTGCTTAGCATAGTGCTTGGCGCATAGAAAGTGCTTACCAAATGTCAGCTGTTATCATAAAAATTAAAATAGTTGTTATTCTCATTTAAAAGATGGATGAACAAAGGCTTAGAGAAATAAGGTAAATCAAGTAATTTGCCTAGGTCACACAGTATATAAATGATGGAACTAGTTTGCACCCAGGCAGTCAAACTCCAGAGCTTTTGCTATTAACCATTATGCTGCATCACCTTAGTAGGTTGAGAGGAAGACTGGGCAAAAACTGCATCTTGTCAAACTTGAGTGTAGGGGTAAAGGTCAGGCTTGAGTTCTGACTTACCTAACCTGCATTGTGATCTTAAGGATCTTATCAGTGTAGCATGTGCCTTGATTATTCTCTGAATTGATTCTTCCCTAGATCCAAAGACATGAATGATAGGTTAGTTATATTCTTCTGCTGAGGGTTTGGGTGTTTTCTGGGCCAGGAAATGGAGCTTAACAAACACCTGTGTCTCAGTGCTTTTTGGACCAGAAGTAAGAGCTTGTCCAGCCTCTCTTGCTATTATGCTTGTTTATTTTCTCACGTGACTGGTAATGATGAGTAGTAGAACAGCGTACACATTGAGAATTCTCTTTTTTTTTTTCTTTGAGACGGAGTTTCGCTCTTGTTGCCCAGGCTGGAGTGCAATGGCGTGACACTGGCTCACCGCAACCTCCGCCTCCCAGGTTCAGGCACTTCTCCTGCCTCAGCATCCCAAGTAGCTGAGATTACAGGCATGTGACACCATGCCCGGCTAATTTTGTGTTTTTACTAGAGATGGGGTTTCTCGATGTGCCTCAGGCCGGTCTTGAACTCGCAGCCTTAGGTGAGCCGCCTGCCTCAGACTCCCAAAGTGCTGGGATTACAGGCATTGAGCCACTGTGCCCGGCCACACATTGAGAATTTTCTACATGCTATGTACTCTACACGAATTATCTCATTTAATCCTTAAAAATAACCTCATGGTGACCTTTATCCCTGTTTTATAGAGTTGAAGAGAGGTTAGAAAACTTGCTTCAAGTTGTGCAGTTAATAAGTAGTAGAGCAGGGATTTAAATAAGGCAGTCTGACCTGAGTTCATGCTTGCGTTTTTTTTGTTGAGATGGAGTCTTGCTCTGTGGCCAGGCTGGAGTGCAGTGGTGCGATCTTGACTCACCGCAACCACCTCCGTCTCCTGGGTTCAAGCGATTGTCCTGCCTCAGCCTCCTGTGTAGCTGGGACTACAGGCACGTGCCAGCATGCCCAGCTAGTTTTTGTATTTTTTAGTAGAGATGGGGCTTCACCATGTTGGCCAGGATGCTCGATCTCTTGACCTCGTGATCCGCCCCCCTTGGCCTCCCAAAGTGCTAGGATTGCAGGCATGAGGCACTGCGTCCAGCCCCAAGTTCATGCTCTAACCTCTGCACTCTACTGCCTGTAGTCTTTTCTTACCTCTGTTAAGTAGGTAGTGTGGACTGTGTGGTTTAAGAGTAGTAGGGCCAGTTCTGTTTTTCTCATATGAAAAATGGGAAGATTTTGACCACTGGACTAGGAATAACGAGGACTATGATCTTGTCTTGGCTCTGCCACCAACTTGCCATATTTAGGATTTCACTTTTTTTAGTTTTATGGTGCTCATTTATTAAACAAAGGGGTTGCGACCAGGCGCGGTGGCTCATGCCTGTAATCCCAGTACTTTGGGAGGCCGAGGTGGGTGGATCACGAGGCCAGAAGTTTCACACCAGCCTGGCCAATATGGTGAAACCCTGTCTCTACTAAAAATACAAAAAAAAGGCCGGGTGTTGTGGCGTGCGCCGGTAGTCCCAGCTACTCGGGAGGCTGAGGCAGGAGAATCACGTGAAACCAGGAGGTGAAGGTTGCAGTGAGTCGAGATTGTGCCACTGCACTCCAGCCTGGGCGACAGAGCAAGACTCTGTCTCCAAAAAAAACAAAAAACAAAAACAAAGGAGTTGCTCTAGATGGCTTCTGAGGTCTCTTTGAACTCTGATGTCCTGTAATTGATCATAGGAAGTAAGAGTAACACGTGTTTAGCTCCTTGAGTTTGGGGCAGTGGTATTTGTGAGTTCTTTTTTTTTTTTTTTGGAAACAGAGTTTCTGTCGCCCAGGCTGGAGTGCAGTGGCACGATCTTGGCTCACTGCAAGCTCTACCTCCTGGGTTCACGCCATTCTGCCTTAGCCTCCTGAGTAGTTGGGACTACAGGCGCCCACCACCATGCCCGGCTAATTTTTTTGTATTTTTAGTAGAGACGGGGTTTCACCACGTTAGCCAGGATGGTCTGGATCTCCTGACCTCGTGATCCGCCCGTCTCAGCCTCCCAGAGTGGTGGGATTACAGGCGTGAGTCACCACGCCCAGCTGTGAGTTCTTAGAGAGTCTGCCTTGTGCAGGGAAGATGCCAGATTCTAGGGCAAGGGATGAGCCGTCTCCCTGAAGAAGGTAGATCTAGGTTCTTTTTTGAGGCTGGTTGCCAAGGGAACCCAGCCTCTGGCCAGCAACAGCCAGGAATGCTTTGGTTGAGGCTTGGGTACACATAATGAAAACAAGCCGCACATTTAGGTTTCATTCCTTGCCTTTCTCCCATTTCTACCTTTTCTTTTTCTTTCCTTTTTAAGCTGCTAGTTTTAAACACGTTCGTGTGTCAGACACTGTTTTAAGTACTTAACATTAAGTATCGTATCATTTAATCTTCACAGTAATCTTACGAAATAGGTACTCCTATTCTAAACTAGAGGCAAGTAGAGTTAAGTAATTTGTCCAGATTTACTCAAGAGAAAGTAGTATCAAACCTGTACTTTTAGCTACTAAGTTGTACTACCTGGTTGGATCTTTAAATAGAAGGAGGACTTCTTATTTATTAGTGGTTTTTGTTTTGTTTTGTTTTTATTTGGAATAAAAACTCTTGGAGCTAGAGCCTTTGAAGTAATTTAATGCAGTCTCCTTGTCTCCAGCTTGCCATCCAGTTACAGGAATGCTTTCTATCATTCTCCTGACAAATGATCTTTCAAGTTCTCTTTGAATACCTCCATTAATAGGGGAGCTCATCACTTCTTGAGGATATTATTGTTGAAAAGCTCTCATTGGTAGAAATATAATAATACTTTTTTGAGACAGGGTCTTGCTCTGTCTCACAGGCCAGAGTGCAGTGTTGGATTACAGCTCACTGAAGCCTCAGCCTCCGTAGCGCAAGTGATCCTCCCCCTCAGCTTCTCCCGAGTAGCTGGGAATACAGGCACATGCCACCATGCCCAGCTGTTGTTTTTTTTTCTTCTTTTTTTTTTTCTTCTTTTTGTTTGTAGAGGCAGGGTTTCACTATATTGTTCAGACTGTTCTCGAATTCCTGGGGTCAAGTGATCTTTCTGCCTTGACCTCCTAAAGTACTGGGATTATAGGCATGAGCCACCATGCCCAGCAGAAATTATTTATTTTATTTTATTTTATTTTTATTTTATTTTTGAGACAGAATCTTGCTCTGTTACCCAGGATGGAGTGCAGTGGCACAATCTTGGCTCACTGCAACCTCTGCCTCCCGAGTTTAAGTGATTCTGCTGCCTCAGCCTCCCCAGTAGCTGGGAGTACAGGCACCTGACATCATGCCTGGCTAATTTTTAAATTTTCAGTAGGGACAGGGTTTCACCATGTTGACTAGGTTGGTCTCAAACTCCTGACCTCAAATGATCCTCCTGCCTCTGCCTCCCAAAGTGCTGGGATTACTGGCGTGAGCCACTGTGCCCGGCCACCTGGTCTTTTTCTATTTTTTTTTTTTTTTTTTTGAGACGGAGTCTTGCTCTGTCACCCAGGCTGGAGTGCAGTGGCCGGATCTCAGCTCACTGCAAGCTCCACCTCCCGGGTTTACGCCATTCTCCTGCCTCAGCCTCCCGAGTAGCTGGGACTACAGGCGCCCGCCACCTCGCCCGGCTAGTTTTTTTTTGTATTTTTTAGTAGAGACGGGGTTTCACCGTGTTAGCCGGGATGGTCTCTCGATCTCCTGACCTCGTGATCCGCCCGTCTCGGCCTCCCAAAGTGCTGGGATTACAGGCTTGAGCCACCGCGCCCGGCCCTTTTTCTATTTTTAAGAGACAGGGTCTTGCTATTTCACCCAGGCCAAAGTGCAGTGGTGTGATCATAGCTTACTGTAGCCTTGAACTCCT